CCTCAGGCTCGGTGCCCTGGCCCCTCAGGAACCTCTGCCAGGGCCTGGCTCTCCTCGCTCCTCTCTGGAGAAGCGGGAGTTCCACAGGGGAGGGATGCTGCATCCCCAGCGCCTCACCCAGGGCCTGGAACACAGGAGGTGCTCAGCAAACGTTTGGGGACGAGTGTCCGGCCTCCCTGTCCGGCTTCAATCCTCCTGTTAGCCCAGCCCCCTTCCTCTGGGACCAGGAGCTAACGAGTCTGCACGCCTAGGACACACATGGCCCCACTGTCCCCCCACACAACCACTGTGTGTGTCCTATCTCCCCCCGAGTTCAGGCTAGCTCTCGCCCGTCCCCTGGGCTGACCTGCCTACCTCCTGGCCTTTGTGGGTCATGCTCCTGCCCACCCTGGGGGTCGGCTCCAGGAGGTCTCCCCACCCCTTTCCTCCAAAGGCCCTCTAAGCTTTCCTCCTGCTTCTCTACCTGTGTGGCATCCACTTTGGACTCCACTTGGACCAAGGGGTTTCTCTGCCCTGCATCCCATCTGCCTCAGGAGGAGCTGGTGCATCATCAGTTGGTTTCATTCTGATCACCAACAGCAATAACAGTAACTGGTAGTTACAGCGGAAACAATGACTACCAAGTGCCCAGCACTCACTTGGTGCCAGGACTGTGCTAGGCACCTCCGGGGCAGTCTTCTGAGAACCCAGTCTATAGATGGGGAAACTGAGGCTCGGTGAGGGGAAGCAACAAGGATGAGGCCACATGCTGGCAGTAGCGGGTACCACTTCCTTCACATCTGTGACTCGGGGCCCAAGCTTTATCCACGTTCCCTCTGCCTGGCAGTGTCTCAGGAAGGGGTTTGGTCCCTCCCCCATCACAGATGAGTATCCAGGGTCAGCAGCTGGAAAGGACACTCGGACCACTACTGAGCACATCCTGAGCCAGGCGTGGGCCTGGGCGCGGGGGGTGAGGAGTCGCCTCTGCCCCTGGGAGCAGGCTCTGGGGCGGGCCCTGGGCCGGCCGCTTCACACACGCGCTGCTTGACTCCCCTCCCCTGATGGCGGCCCAGAGAAATGAAGTCACTTGCTCAAGTTTCGGAGCCAGAAAAATTCAAGAGCCTGGCCAAGCTTCGGACCAGCCGATTTCCTGTGTGCTAAGCTCCCCACCTCCTGCCTTCCTTCCCTGCTCCCCAGCCCCGGGGTGGGCAGTGTCCCCAGTGCTGTGGGAAGGCTTCAGGGATCAGTCAGGCGTCCCCCTCAGGCGGTGGCTGGAGGCCTGGTCGCTGAAAGGAAAGGGTGAGGAGTAAAAGCAGAAAGTGATGGAAGCGCGTAAGCGATCCTGTCCCCAGTGTAGATCACCACCTGCGAGGAGAAATCAAAGGTTGGGGAGAAGGCTGGAGTGGGAGGGGGAGAGGAGGGAGAGTCACAGGGCCCCCCGTTCCCCACCCCTGCCCCCCACACGCACACACTCTGGTGGCCCTGCCTCCGCCCCCCCTGCCTGGAGCCTACCTCCTGGCTCAGTGAAGCTGGGGGGTGGGGAGGGAAAGGGGAGGTGGAGGGAGAGTGAGGAGGAGGATGCTAAGGTAGGTGCCGAGGAGGAGAGACCCTGTCTTTGTCAGCTGCCTTCGCCAGGTGTAAGAAAGCCAGGCCTCTGGCTCCCCAGGTCCACCTGGGAGCCTCCCTCCATGCAGCATGGCGGCACTTCCCTGGCAAACAGGAAGTGCTATTCTGGTGATGGGCAAACCGACCAGGAGATGGGACTCTGTGGAAGACAAGATGCCCCAGCCCTTCACACCGAATCCAACACGAGGCCTCAGCAGTGGTCTGTCTCTCCGTGGACATAAAGTCCAGCTTCCAGGACGGGGGAAGGGCAGGAGGGGGCAGCGAGGGGTGAAGAGGAAGGAGAGGGAGCTCAGAGACAAGTGTGGTGAGTGAGGGAAGGACAGGTGTGTGTGGTGGGGGAAGGGGGGCCGGGAAGGGAAGGGATGAGAGAAGAGGAACGCAGAGGGATGACAGGGCAGTGGGGCTGAGGGAGAGACGTACGTGTGCCAAGCAGAGTGGGGTGTGGCCGAGGAATGTGTAAAGGAGCCCGGGCACATGAAGCAGCAGGCCCAGGGGCCAGGGTGACAAGGGCTGGAGAAGGTGCCCTGGGAAAGTACAGTGTTTGGTGGTGGCTGGGGAAAAGGCGGGGGCGGGGGAGCTAGGGTGTGGACAAGGGTGACCAGAAAAAGGGAGTGTGGGAGGGAGGGAACAGGCCCAACTGTTCCCCACGCACCTGGCCCCAACTTGGCCCCTTGTGCATGTGCATGTGAATGCGCATGTGCGTGTGCGCGTGTGCACGTGCGTGCGCGTGGCGAGTCAAGGTGTCTCCTCCTCGCTCACTCTGGGTAGGGGAAGGGCCCGGGATCGCATGAGGAACAAGAGGACTCACTGTAGGGGACACAGTCGTACTGCACCTCCAGGTACTTGTAGGTCCCAGGACAGGGGTCAGGAAAGGCGTCGGAGCCGGCAACCACCACGCACTGGGTGCGGTTATTACACCTGTGGAGGAAAGACGGAGATGGGAAGACAGGCCTAGAACTGGGGGCTCAGGGTAAGGAGAAGAATGGGTACCCCCAAATTTGGAAGGAACCATGGAGACCAAAGCCTTTCGTGGATATCGCTTTCTGCTTCCTGCCAGCTCGCTCTCTTCCACTAGATAGGGTTTCTTCTACTCTCCGCCCCAGCACGGCATGAAGCTCGGGGCTGGGACCGGGGCAGGGCCCCATAAACTGCTTGCCCCGCCACCCCTCATGGCTTCCATCCAGCACTGGTGCTACGGCATCCTTGGCATTTCCCCTCAATTGACTGTAAAGCCCCTACTTTGTTCACGGAAGAGTTCAATGATTCTCATCATTGATGTTTCTCTCTCCCTCTCACCTTCCTCTCTGAAATAAAAATATATTAAAAAATAATGAAAGATGTTTCTCTGCTGTCTGTCCCCACAGTCAGGGTCTCTGTGTCCTGGAGCAGCCCAGGTCTCAGCCAGCAGGACATCGACCTGATCGTGGGGCAGGGGGGCGCCCGTGTCTTCTCTCTTCAGTCCTGCCCTTAACTAATGAGGATCTGCTCATACCCACCCACCTCAAAACCCTTCTTTAAAAACAGAACATTGGGGCCAGGCGCACAGTGGTAGCAGGCCTTGAGCGGCAGGGGGTGGGGGTGGAGTAAAAGAAGAAAAAAAACACAAACACAGAACATTGGCCTGGCCAGCGTGGCTCAGTGGTAGAACATTGACCTATGAACCAGGTCATGGTACTATTCCCGGTCGAGGCACATGCCCAGGTTGAAGGCTTGATCCCTAGTGTGGGGCATGCAGGAGGCAGCCAAACAATCATTCTCTCTCATCATTGATGTTCTGTCTGTATCTCTTTACCTCACCCTTCCTCTCTGAAATCAATAAAAATATATTAAAAAACAAATAAATAAAAACAGACACTGGTGCCGTGGCCGGTTTGGCTCTGTGGATAGAGCGTCGGCCTGGGGACGGAGGGGGCCCGGGGTCGATTCCAGTCGAGGGCACATGCTTGGGTCGCAGGCTCGATCCCCACTAGGGGGCGTGCAGGAGGCGGCCGATCCATGATTCTCTCTCATCAATGATGTTTCTTTCTCCCTCCCTCTCTGAAATCAATAAAAATATATTAAAAACAACAACAAGAAGAAAAACAGACACCGGTGCCCGCTTCAGCAGCACATATACTAAAATTGGAACGGTACAGAGATGAGCACGGCCCCTGTGCAAGGCTGACATTCAAACTCATGAGGCGTTCCATATTTTTAGACCATAGTGTAGTGAAGGCCTGGGGGGAGGGATTTGTAGTTGAGGGTCAATGGATAAAAGGGGGACCTCTGAAACATTTTCCACAATAAATAAAAACAGCACGTTGGCCTCAGAAGGTTAAGGAGAGTTACCTATGGCCCAGAAACTCCATCCTTTGTTATATTCCCAAAAGAACCGAAAGCAAGTGCTTGAACAACCCAAATATCATACCCGAATGGATGAACAAAATGTGGTCCATGCTCACAACAAAACAGTCCTCAGCCATAAAGGACTGAAGCGCTGACAGGCCACAATGTGTATGAACTTCAGAAGATGCTGCACGAGAGAAGCCGGACACAAAAGGCCACGCCTCACGACTCACATGCACGAAACGTCCGGAATTGGCAAATCCAGAGACAGAGAGGAGATCAGCTGCCAGGAGGAGGGGGATGGAGAGTGGCCGCTAATGGGCACAGGGTTTCTCCTCCTGGGGTGATGAAAATGTTCCGGAACGAGGTAGGGATGGTGGTTGCACAACTTGTAAACATACTAAATGCCGCTAAATATTTCACTTCAATAGTGCTTTTTATGTAATGTGAATTTCACTTCCATATAGAGAAGAAAAGGGAAAGCCGCGGGCCTTCCAGCGAGGGGGGATGAGATGGGTGCAGGAGGCACCAAACAGGGAAGCGGGTGCTGATGGTCTCCTCGGCTCCTCACTGTATTTATTCTGGGGTGTCTCGGTCAGAGCAGTGAGCTGTACCCTAACTGATACAAAGCACCTCCAGGTTGCCCTAGCCAGTTTGGGTCAGTGGATAGAGCATCGTCCTGTGGGCTGAAGGGTCCCAGATTCGATTTCGGTCAAGGGCATGTACATAGGTTTTAGGCTCCTCCCCAGCCTGAGCCCTGGTTGGGCATGTGCAGGAGGCAACCAATCCATGTGTTTCTCTCACATCAATACTTCTCTCTGTCTTTGCCTCTCTTTCCCACTCTCTCTAAAAATCAATGGAAAAATATTCTTGGGTGAGGATTAAAATAAAATAAAATTTTTTAAAAAGCACCTCCAGATTTTTAAAATATATATATTTTTATTGATTTCAGAGAGGGAAGGAGAGAGAAAGAGAGATAGAAACATCAATGACGAGAGAATCATTGATTGGCTGCTTCCTGGACGCCCCCTACTGGGATGGAGCCTAAAACCTGGGCATGTGCCCTGGACCCGAATCGAACCCGGGACCTTTCAGTCCGCAGGCCGATACTCTACCCACTGAGCCAAACCGCCTAGGGCACACCTCCAGGTTTTAAGACAGTGGAGCAGCGGCCTCAGGACACTCGCAGCCCCGGTGACCATCCTGCTCGGTGTTCCCCCCTCTGGGCCTGACAACCCATTGGAACTGGGCCAGTCACTGTGCTGGGCGCTGGGAGACACCACCGACCCCGGTGCCAGTGCCGAATGAACCCTCAGGGAGAATCTGGACAGCAGGAGGGAGGGAGCACGGTTCCAAGAAGGGGGCACTGCCCAAGCGAAGACTGGGAGGCTGGCCCGCACCACCCATGCAGGGGAGACTGGGAGGGGAAAAGGGGGCAAAATTATTGGAGGGGGATGGGTGCTGGGGAGAGAAAAGGTGCGAGGGAGGGGATGCGGCAGCTCCAGGCTGAACCATCTGCCCATACCTCTCCTGTGCCCCAAACTCTCAGGGCCCCTGCCCAATGACATATTCTAGAACCCTCTGCCAGCATTCAAGGAGCTGCTGGCCCTTGCCCTCCTTCCCTTTTCCAGTTCTATGCCCTGGGCTCGGAGTGAACCCTGCATTCTCACAGGCATTTGGCAAAAATTCAGTGAGTGCCTGCTGCTGCGGACACAGCAGTGATACAGTTCCCTGTCCCTGTGGGGCTGACGGCCCAGTGAGGGAAGACAGAAACCACATAAAGAGGCAAACTATCTGATGGGACTGCAGATGGAAGTCCGGGTAGGAGAGAGACAGCAGAGAAGGGGTGAGGAAGTGGAAGCTGTGGTTTCGGAGGGGGGTCGGGCAGCCCGGGAGGATAGGTGGGTGGAAATTCCCTGAGTGAGCGGGAGGAGGCTGCTGGAGAACAGCCAATGAGAAGGCCCACGGGAGGCCCTCGGGGTGTGAGGAGCAGGTGGGTGAGCGGGGAGCGCGGAGGAGGTGAGGCTGGAGAGGAAAGGGCAGAGCGAGCAGGGCCTTGCAGGCAGAGGGAAGGCCTGGGCTTTGTGAGCCGGGAATGAGGCAGGATTCTGAGCAGAACAGGGATGTTTCCAGATTCAGGTGCTCACAGACGCCCTCTGGCTGCTGTGGAGGGAGCAGGTAAGGGGCGGGGCATGGACTTGGAAACAGTGGTCACATCTGTATAATTTGAAGGAAGCACCGAGCAGCTGGAGGTGCACTGGCTGTGGGTGTGAGAGGTTTCTGCAGCTTCGAACACTCAGTGCTCTGCCTGGCATACTCCCCTCACTCACAGTTGCACCCGGGCACTCACATTCTCTCTCTCACATGCACTTATCATCTGTATTCAGATGTCGCCTCCTCAGGGAAGCCGGACCAGACTCGGTCCTGCCTCAGCTCCCAGGACACCTTCACCCTGTCCTGCCATTGCTTTTACATTGCAAGCCCTCACCGCCTCCCTATAATCTTGGCGTGAGCTTCTGGGGGCATCAGGCTCATGAGTGTAGGTGTGTGTGAAGGGGTACAGACTGGTAGGGAGACAAGCTGGGGGGGGGGGTGTCACATGGTACCCGGAAGGTGCTCGGGAAACGTGTGTGGAAACCATAAAGGAAGACGGAGGGTGAACAGGGTGCACTGTCCCGGGGTGCACGGAGGACAGGCACTGGATTCAGGGACTCCGGGAACTGCCGCCACCCTGCCTCTGAGAGCCCGGTGGGGCCCTCACCTCTGCGACATGATCTTGAAGGCATCCGGCAGGTAGCACTGCACGTTCTCCATCTGGAAAGGGTCAGCGTCGCAGATCTTGTCATCTGTGCGTCCGTAATTGGCGTTTTCCACCATGATGACATCACTGCCTGGGCACCGCAGCTCGATGGGGTAGCCTTCGCATGCCAGCTCCCGGCGCATCAGCCCGAATGGGAGTCCAGCCCGGCTCAGGCCTGTGGGAGGGGGCACATCATGCTCAGGGCACGGGGAAGGCAGTGAAGACCCGCAGAGGAGGTGCCATCTCCAGCTTAGCTGGACCTGGGACACAGGCACAGCTTTATTCATCTGTAAAATGGGCTTTTCAAGTCATTGACCTGCTCAAAAAGAATTTGGCCTTTGCCTCAGGACCTGGGAGGGCCCTCCAAGCCTTTTGAATATTCAGCCTGATAAGTGTCTGTTTACCTGGGGGCCTTGGGCCATGCCAGATAGTCTGTGCCAAATGTTAGGGGTTGAATTGTGTCCCCTCCCCCAAATTCCTATGCTGAAGTCCTAACCCATAGGACCTCGGAATGTAACCAAATTTGGAGACAAGGTCTTTACAGAGATAACCAAGTTAAAAGGAGGCAATAAGATGGGCACTAATCTATATATATAAAAGCCTACTCTGCAAAGTGTCCCCTAGGGCAGTGGTCAGCAAATTCATTAGTCAACAGAGCCAAATATCAACCGTACGACTGAAATTTCTTTCAAGAGGCCAAAGAGCCGTAGGTGGCTCGTGAGCCGCAGTTTGCAGACCACTGCGGGAGTTCCATTGCCTGCTATGACATGCGCTGACCACCAGGGGGCGGCACCGGAACGAAGGAAGGCCAGGCCTAGGGACCCTACCTGTGCATGAATTTCATCCAATAAAAATAGAGGAATTTGGACACAGACACACCAGAGGGAAGACCATGTGGGGACAGAGGGAGGAGATGGCCATCTATCTACAAGCCAAGGACAGGGGCCTGGAACAAATCTCTCCCTTGCAGCCCTTAGAAGGAACTAACCCTGCCAACGCCTTGATTTTTGGACTTCCAGCCCCTGGTACTGTGAGGAAGTAAATTTCTGTTGTGTAAGCGCCCCCCATCTGTGGGGCTTTGTTACAGCAGCGCTAACAACCTAGTAACCTAACAATCAGCGCCCCAGTAAAGATGGTGAATACCAAGGCTCGGGGGACTCCCCAGGCTGGCAATGCACATGTGTGCTGTCGCCCAGCATTGCCAGGAGAGTTAACACTGCCCACGACTCCGAGAGGGAGAGGGGACAACTGCAAGCTCCGTGCATGAAACTTGCCTGAGGGCTGCTGCCCCACGCCCCCCTTCTCTTGGGTGATTTTAATCTGCATCAATTCACCATGATAAACTGTTACTGAAGTTTAACAGCATTTCTGAATTCTGTGAATTCTCCTGGCAAACCATCAAACTTGAGGATGGTCTAAGGCAGTGGTCACCAACCTTTCGGACCTTGCAGACCACCAGTGATCTGCAGACCACTGGTTGGCGACCGCTGGTCTAAGGGACCCCTGATTGCAGTTAGTGTCCAAAGTGAGGGTGACCTTGGGTGCTGCCCCAAATTCACACCACCCCACACAAGGAGAAGAGGCATGGGGGCGGGGTAGGAACTCATATTCTGGAAGAAACCATAGGGCCTGACTTCGGCACCTCCCAGATGACAGGCCAGGCGTGTCCCTAGCCCCAGGTCTTCTCGTGCTGCAGCCCAGGGGTCAGCAGCACCAGAATCACAGGGCAGCTGGTCCTTCCGAATGCAAACTATGGCCCCCTCCCCCGAGGCCTGCTGAATCAGGACCTCGGGGGAAAGCCAGGAGCCTTTGGAACTACGCATCCACCAGCGATTCTGATGCACACTCCTTTGGACAGCCACCCCTAGAGCCTCCCCAGGCCTCAGTTTCCCAATCTGTAAAATGGGCACCATAGCCCAGGGCTGTGCGGTGAGGATTCTGTGCTAGGAATGTTTGTGAAGGAAGTGCTGAGCATGGTACTGTCAATGGTGAGGGCGCCACCAGAAGGGTCCTCCTCATTATCACCTGGAAACCCTCCCGGGTGTGTGAAAACGGAAGAGCACACCGTGAGCAGGCCCAGCATCGTCACATGTCCGTCCCCATCCTGTGCCGTGTAGTGACCGAGAGCTTGGGCTGATGGGTTTCAATCCCAGCTCCACCACTCCCTGGCCGGTGGCTTCGTCCAGTCACTGACCACCTCTGTGCCTGTTCCCCTCCCTGGGGAGCTGACAGCTCCCACCTCACAGAGCCAGGCTGAGGGAGGGGCGCAGTGGATGCAGCAGTGAGGCAGCAGGGTGCTAATTACTGTTGCTACGAGGATGATTAAGGCAGCCCGTCCTGCGGGACAGAGTGGGTTTGGCAGGGCCCACGCCTGCTGAGGCAGCCACCTTCCCAGACACGTCCCAGCCAGGCCTTGCTGGTGTCGGGGGGATGCGGGGATGCACAGAGTGGCCCAGAGGCTGCAGTGTGGGGACCACTGTCATTTGCGGATGAAGAGAAGGCACCAGTGCATAATGGCAGCAGAGCTAAGCAGGCCTCTTTCCGAAGATCGGGTCCCTCCACTGTTGGCTGGGGACCCATGGGGAATGGCAGCCAGGCCCTGGGGTTTTCTGGGGGGAGCTGTCCCACTTGGGGGAAAGTTTCACATGTGTTCCTCTAGTGCCATCTGCTTCCGCGGCTAATTTTAGCCCTTCTTGGGTCTGGGAGGCAGGCCGGGGGTGGAGGGTTGGCTCAGATGGGTCCAGGGGGTGGAAGCAGCCCCTCCTGTACCAGCTGGGACCATGGGGCAGGACCCAGATGGGCAGAGAACTTGGGCACTGGGCAAGCAGAGGCTACCAGCTGGCCAGAGCAATGCCAAGGCCCTGGGCATGGCTGAACGAAGCCGCTCCCTGTGTGGCTCTCTAAAGGTGGGGTATGTGATGGGGCACTGGGAAGCAGTGTCCACTGCCAGTGCCCTCCAGACAGGGCTGGGAGGGGTGGGCAGGGGGCGTGCCCCAGGCAAGGGCAAGGCCAAGGCCAGCAGGCCCTTTCTCCCTGCCTCCCTCCTTGCTCTGCCCTTGCCCGCCATGGGGACCAGAGCGGAGTACCTGGTGAGGTGGACGGGCGCGCTCGGGGCACTAATTGTGGCGTGCACAGGATCCCGGGGCCGGCACAGGGCCGAGCCGAGTCATTAGTTGTTTTTAAATACATGTCAATGGGCATGCTTTAATTAAGCCTCTTCCAGATGTCATCACAGGTACCACACACACGAGCCTCAGACCACCAGGAAGGCCGGTCCCGGTCCCAGGTGCCACAGGCTGTCTCCCCGGCTCTGGGATGCCTGGGTGTTGGAGGTGAGGGGTCAGGGCCCCCTCCGTGTGGCTGGCGGTGTGTCACCACCACGCCTCGCTCTGGCCTGGTTCCTGAGGTGCGGGTGGGGCCGGGGCTTTAACCAGTCGTCCGGAGGTATCTCAGTGCTCCACCCGCTCTCCGGCCGCGTGGTGGAGGCGCGGCCCAGCGGCACCTACCTTGGGTGGCCGAGGTGACCAGGACGGCGGTGACGCAGAGGCTCCACAGCACGGCGGCCAGGCGGGCCATGGCAGCGGCAGG